GCTGAGTGGACCCCGTTCCAGACCCACTACTTCTCAGAAAACATCTGTAGCCAGGAACGCTGACCAGTAGACCACAGAGGCGGTCTAGAATGGAATTTGTGAGAAGAAATAATTATTACCTTGTTCATGTTAGTTTCTTTCTTGGATTATTCTTTGACTCTGAAGATGGAGGCGACATGTTCCTCCGAACCGTCGGTTAACTTCCAACAGAATTCACGGTGTCACTTCCCAGAGCTCTTCAATACTAAATATTGTTTATGCCACTTTTGCATGACCGCCTCAACACCGGATCCAGTGCCTCGCAAAGCATTTCGGCTTTTTATTTCATTTCAAGGCGTCTCAAATGTTCGTTAGACAGTCCTTTGTCGCTCCACACCTCCCATCGTGTCTTGATCAGAAATCACGAGACAAAGATGTAACTGTACCTCCACAATGCTTCATTTAATCTATCACCTCGCTAATAATAACAGTCATAATTGAAGAGTTAGGAAGTCATACAAGAACCGTATTATTCCGAGAAGCCTTCCTTTTCGTAAGTAGGGACACAGCTGTACTCTAGGTCTTCACAGATTCCTGCCAGGCTAGGGTACACCTTAGAACTCAATACGATGCAGAAGGGCGCACTGACAGTCTAAGTAAATAAATTAAACATTCCAGGCTGTAATCTTAATAATTTGTAGATTTCACCAAACAGCATATTATTAGGATAAACAGGTCGAGGAGGATAAGATGGGTGGGACATGAAGCACGCATGGAGGAGATGGACAATGCATACAGAACTGCAATTAGAAACCCTGAGGGAAGTGTCCGCTTTGGAAACTGAGGCGCAGATGTGATTAATTTCATGGAGATGAGCCCTTATTGAAAAGCCGTCAGTTGTGCACCTACTCAAGAATTTTTCATTATTTTATGGAAGCCGAAGGTTCATTACCGTGTTCACAAGGGTCCTCCACTGGTTCCTATCCAGTGCCAGATCAATACAATCCATACCATCCTATCCTATCACTCTAAGATACAGTTTAATGTTATCAACCCAACTACTTAGTGGTCTCTTTCTTCCTGGCTTTCACACGAAAATCCTACGTGCATTCTGCTTCTCCTCATCCGTGTTACATGCCCTGCCCACCTAATCCTCTTTTATTTGGTCACGTGATTACAATATTAAAGAAACAGGGCGTCAGGCTTTAAACTGGATATGACTGGCTTAGAATACTGTCCAATAGCAGGCTCCTGCGACCACCAAAATGAACTTCCGGAATTCGTAAAAGGAGGGAAATTTCTGGATCATGTGAAAGACGATTAACTTCTCAAGATGGACTCAGCTACTTAATATTCTAAAAACGTCGCTTTATTAACACAGTATAACTGTTTTAACGACCACTTCCAACAGAATTCTGTACGTATCCTCAACAGCACACTTTTTCTTCGAAGAAAGTCTGAACGCGAGTCATAAAGCGGAGGAAAGGCTTTCAAAGAGAGTTATACCGAAACGTCCAAACACCAAAACCGGCGGAGAATGTACGTTCAAATAATATATTAATTAATTTACTTACTGGTTGGCCAGCTAGCTTAAACGCAACTGCCTCATGTCTCAGGTTTTCCTAATTCCGTATTTTATAAAACACTGTTTCTAACATAAACCCGCTCTAATAAGAAACTCTCAGTGTGTTACGAAGCGCATAATGTAATCAGACAATTTTATAAAATACTACAATAAAAAATCATGGCTGCAAAATACTATAGTACAAAACAGAATTACTGTTTGTTCACGGAAACAGTGTTACCAACAGTACCTGCTGTAATAGCATCCAACAGTTTCAGCAAAAACTTGGCGTATATAACAGTGATTCTCCTCCCTGAGTCTGTGACGCCTTCTAACGCGATCATGCATAACTATGCATGCAATGTTACACCTAAATATCAAAGTGGTTCCAGCGTTAAAATTGAATGAGCTAATTCTAAAATCAAATTGAAAATAAAATACAGTTGTCCCTGTGTTTATTTAAATAAGCACTTTGCCATGAAGACGTATGGAGGAGTGGAGATATAGAGCTCTACCATTCTTCACCTCGACACTAGATGGCGGTGAGTGATAGGTTTCACCCTTCTGTCACTTTACCTCCAGGAAAAGAGCCCCAGATACACATTGAATAGGAGACTGTGTGGGCCCCACAGCCCATCTGTAACATTGTGGAGATGATAAAATTCTTTTACCGCTGCCGGGTATCAAACTCAGATCGTCCAGCCCGTAGTCCGTCGCTAAACCGACTCTAAGCAACGGTAAATGGAAACATGTCCGTGTCATCAACTATCACTCCATGAGCGAGCACTTAATCTCCTCAGCAGACTTCCCACTCCGGCCATCTTTACCTCTAGAAAAAGAGCCTCCAGGAAGTGGGTGAAATCAAGAACCGCCCTGGACGGGGAGTGAAGAAAAATCGATGCCCAGGCGAGAATCGAATCCCTACAGAACGGTTATCTACTGAAAGCAGAATTTCATTAAGATGGGTCTCAGTAATCTGTGTTTGGTGACGGAACGGGCACAGGATCATGCCCAATGGCGAGCGTCACACCTTTTTTACAGAGGGAACTCCCCGGTCTTTATAATTCCTGATAAGGTCCCTAAACTGATCTGCAAACCTGGCAGAAATGTGGATACGTCATTCAAGTTTTTCAGCGTTATATTAATTACAGACCTGTACGTTATAAGCTAATAATAAAAAAAAATTAAACGGAAGCGGAAATACAAACTCTAATACACATATATATATCAAAATTTTGTGAACAACTTGTTTGTCCATTATTGTGAATTAATTTCAGGAAGCAGGAACAGGTCGTTTCCCAGGCAATGACATTTTATTATCATGATGTAACGTACAGGGGCGATGATTATCATTTAAGCTCCCTCGTCTGCAATCAGTGTAAATGTTCCATATACAGCACAGTCCCAATCCACGGTTCCGAAACACAAGTCAATTAAAACTGTCGGGCACCTGCTCACCTACAGCGAAATTTCACATGCCACTGTACCCAGGGGTGTCCAGCATAGCCACAAGGGGAACAGGTTCGGACAAGAATTACTTCAGTGGATGATATTTCCGTCTTTAAAGAAAAAGTTATCCCTGTAACAGGCGGCGGAGGCCCATAGAGTTGTGAGACGTCGAGGCTCCCACATTTTCTCTAGATAATCGGCTATAGAGACTGAGTCAACCCCAGGGCCATAGTGCGGCTGGAAATATTAGGTGAAGTGAAAAAAATCCAACTCATCGGGACACGAAACCGCGACCTTCCAGGTTATAGCACTGTGCCTCAACCAACTACGCTACCGCGTGCCCGCGTGAAAGCGGCGACTGAATTGTGACGATAATCTTGAATTACGTATAGAGAAGTTTTTGAAAGAATCACTTGCACTCTGTCACAAGACGCAAAGACATTCCATGGACGGACTGATGAAAACCACGAAATATGTCTTGAGATCCAGTGCTTAGCCATATTCTCGGACTATTACTATTTTCTTGGATCTTAGTACGTATTCTAACAATATAATGCAGACGATCACAGTGGCATCTAGGTCTAAGACATGAACTGTCTTCTCTCGCTGGAACGCTGGGATAGTGGGTTCGAATCCCACTCAACNGAATCTGTGTTTGGTGACGGAACGGGCACAGGATCATGCCCAATGGCGAGCGTCACACCTTTTTTTACAGAGGGAATTCCCCGGTCTTTATAATTCCTGATAAGGTCCCTGAACTGATCTGCAAACCTGGCAGAAATGTGGATACGTCATTCAAGTTTTTCAGCGTTATATTAATTACAGACCTGTACGTTATAAGCTAATAATAAAAAAAAATTAAACGGAAGCGGAAATACAAACTCTAATACACATATATATATCAAAATTTTGTGAACAACTTGTTTGTCCATTATTGTGAATTAATTTCAGGAAGCAGGAACAGGTCGTTTCCCAGGCAATGACATTTTATTATCATGATGTAACGTACAGGGGCGATGATTATCATTTAAGCTCCCTCGTCTGCAATCAGTGTAAATGTTCCATATACAGCACAGTCCCAATCCACGGTTCCGAAACACAAGTCAATTAAAACTGTCGGGCACCTGCTCACCTACAGCGAAATTTCACATGCCACTGTACCCAGGGGTGTCCAGCATAGCCACAAGGGGAACAGGTTCGGACAAGAATTACTTCAGTGGATGATATTTCCGTCTTTAAAGAAAAAGTTATCCCTGTAACAGGCGGCGGAGGCCCATAGAGTTGTGAGACGTCGAGGCTCCCACATTTTCTCTAGATAATCGGCTATAGAGACTGAGTCAACCCCAGGGCCATAGTGCGGCTGGAAATATTAGGTGAAGTGAAAAAAATCCAACTCATCGGGACACGAAACCGCGACCTTCCAGGTTATAGCACTGTGCCTCAACCAACTACGCTACCGCGTGCCCGCGTGAAAGCGGCGACTGAATTGTGACGATAATCTTGAATTACGTATAGAGAAGTTTTTGAAAGAATCACTTGCACTCTGTCACAAGACGCAAAGACATTCCATGGACGGACTGATGAAAACCACGAAATATGTCTTGAGATCCAGTGCTTAGCCATATTCTCGGACTATTACTATTTTCTTGGATCTTAGTACGTATTCTAACAATATAATGCAGACGATCACAGTGGCATCTAGGTCTAAGACATGAACTGTCTTCTCTCGCTGGAACGCTGGGATAGTGGGTTCGAATCCCACTCAACGCATGGATGTTTGTGTGTGCGTTTATTCTGTGTTTATGTTGTTCTGCGTGTACGTAGAGGCGTTGCGATGGACTGATCCCCCGTCCAAGGAATCCTACAGACCGTGAATAGGTATAAGACTGAAAAGAGGCCAAGGCCCAACACAGGGCTACAGAGAAATAATAATAATATAACGTGATATACATATATCTCTTCCACAACAAAATCGCAACATCTAGGTACAAAAAATTTTAGTATTTACCTTCTGCATCTCTTGCATAGCCGTTGTTTCCTTCCCACAAGCCCATTGTCTAATATGGCTTCATGCAGATATGGACACACAGTTCAGGCAGCGGAGTTCGTGCCGTTTGTGGGGAACTGCAATACAACATTGGAACAGAGCGTTAATAATGTTAGACAAGTCAACAGGTGCATCTACATCTTATATACAAGAAGTTCTGGGAAGGACTAATCACCTTTTTCCTTGTGATACGATACGGACCGTATAGAAGNTAATTGTGAATTAATTTCAGGAAGCAGGAACAGGTCGTTTCCCAGGCAATGACATTTTATTATCATGATGTAACGTACAGGGGCGATGATTATCATTTAAGCTCCCTCGTCTGCAATCAGTGTAAATGTTCCATATACAGCACGGTCCCAATCCACGGTTCCGAAACACAAGTCAATTAAAACTGTCGGGCACCTGCTCACCTACAGCGAAATTTCACATGCCACTGTACCCAGGGGTGTCCAGCATAGCCACAAGGGGAACAGGTTCGGACAAGAATTACTTCAGTGGATGATATTTCNGACAATGCGTCCAACAGTTCTGTTATTGTTGCGTATGTATTCATTGCAGCGGGAACCTGTTTACCGAGACGCTGCCTATCAGCAGTTACCCGACCCTACCCTACCTGACCTGACCCGACATGCGGACAGACCTTCACGACTCCCAGATGCTTAAGACAGTTAAATACAGTCCCGCGGTACTCGGATTCAAGAATGACTAAGCTGGCGAGGGTCAGCAGAAATTTACCCGACCGACAGACACACAGAGAGGTGGGGAGTTACACTACTTCCAGAATCGCGAGAGAATATAGACGAGAGTCCTGCAGGACTCGGAATCAAGAATGACTGTGCTGACGAATACCCAGCAAAAAGTACTCGACCGACGCGACCAACTTATAGCGAGGAAGGTAATTCCATAAGTCTCTTTGTATTTATTTTATTTTTCGAAATAACGAAAATATGGCTAAGTTGTATTCCAGCTGATCTTAGTCAAGATCTGGAACCTCGGACACAATTCAGGTTATGCACATTTTCAAAATGAAACCTGTGACTGTCCAGCGTTCCACACCCCTGCCTCATACACGCAGCAGTATTTTACGCTATCAGCCGAAGATCCGGAAATCGCGGTAGTAAGCGGAACTACGGATCTAGATCCCACGCCACCCGGAAGTAAGGTGGAAAGAGGAGGGGGAGGGTTTGTAAAGTAAGAGATTTATAACTGTACCATGCGGTAGGAAGGAATTAAACGGAAGTGACAATTTAAATCTGTGCAGTTGCAAGAGATACACCACCATGCTTCCCCCCCCCAGCCATCCTATATACCGTGCCGGTACACGTGACATTTTCCGGCCAAATAGTAGTGTGAGGAGAAAGGGTGGCATGTTTATAATGGCCCCAGTTCCGCAATAGGTTCCACTTTGTGCACCTGCTTGACTTTCTGGCCTCAGACATCTGGCAACTCTTCAGAAACAAGAGGAAATTAGTACACTGCAACACAATTAAATAAGTAACAAAGCCATAATAATCGTGAACAAAGAAGACGAAAACTCAAAGGACGTGGAATAAAGCCGTTCCGTCATTTCCTCTGAGGTACTGCGAAGGCTTCATTTTGTATATCTCGTTTATGCCAGTCCCCATAGCAACTACGCTACGTGGTGGAGGACCAAGGAATTAGGGTTCGATTCCAGGCGTGGCTCTTTTTATGTCACTGTTAATTGCTCGCACACATGTCAGAATATATGAGATTATTTAAGATGCTGTCTTCGCGACGTTAGCCCTTTGGTTTGTTTAACATTGTTCTGTCAACTGTATAGGTTAGATATTACCGAATGGTTTCAATGAAAAAAGCAGAAAGTTGTGGAAGAAAGGAACACAATATTAGGCCTCTCCATTTAGGCCTATAGTTGAATTCTTTACATTTTCAAGGAACAAATCTGGGACCTTCAAATTTTGGGTCATATTTATTGTAACACAAGTTAAAATTAAAATATAATCTCATAAGTAAGTCTATCTATCTATCTTGATACCGCCGTAGGAACTTCATGTCTAAAATAATCACAGAAACTAAAATTAAAATATTCTAGGAAATTTTCAGTAAGTGATATAAAATCAAATTTAAGACTTTACTCATATTAAGGGGAGAACACAGACTGACGATGTCTGACAAGGTCCAAGGGAAATATCTCTGACTAACAAAGAGTGGGAATTTACGGGAAGCTAAAGGAAAATACATAACAAGAAGCTTCATGATTTCACCGAACATTATTAATGTGATGAAATGAAGGAAGATGACGTAACACGTATGAGAAAGAAACTACGAGTGGGTACAAATTTTGAATCGGAAAATTTAAACTGAAGGTACCAGTTGGCCACTTTTGGAGTATATGGAAATATAATATTGTAACAGATTTGATCAAAGCATTGCCAGGAAACGGTTCAGTAAACACAACCCAATATGCAACACTATAGGGGCAACTGTGCTTCTATGTGGTCTGCGCATTTAGAAGACTTTATTCCAGGAATGTTAATGGGGGTAAAGGGCTGCCGGCACGTAAGGCTGACAAACTTACATCCATGTGTGAGCCTCGACGTCTCATAACCCTATGGACCTCCACGGTCTTTTACAGGGTTAGCTTTACCTTTGTAGAAGACTTTATTTTATGTGTTATCATTACAGTAACATTGAAATTGTCATAATTACATGTAATTACGGCTAGTGAATGTCCAATAAATTGATTCACCGATCCAAACCCGCGTATTTAGTCACTAATACAAGTGACAATGTTAAAACTGGTCTTAAAAAATGAAATAAAGGAGTATGGAATAGATTCACACGGCTCGGGACAGGACAGAAACCGGTTCATGGATCATACGAAACCAGTAATGTGCTTTTGCGCCCAACAAAATGTGGGAAAATTTTGAATAACTGGGCGACTCTCAGTTTCTTGCGAAGATATAGGTATATCTTGTAGGAGATAGCCAGCTATACTTGGATATAACGATCCGGGATTCATTTTGCGAAGAAATATACACCGACTTTCAGCATGTAGTATTAGTGTTAATAGTTGATATTGCTGGTAGTGGATAGGAGATACAGTTGCAACGTTTTGCGAAGATTTAAATTAAGAAAAATTTACCGATAATCTAACAGCATTTAAGAAGGACGTTTAAACCTTTTATTTTTAAATGCGTGGTACATTATTGCAATAATATATTAGATATATAAGTGTAAATTATTCAACCACAAACATCTTTATTTCAAAGAAAGTAATTTATTACTGCAACATGAGTGCTTGACTTAAACTTATCGTTCTGAAACTTAAGAACACGTTCTGACACAGGTGTCTTTACAAGTATTAATTGTGAATAATGTGTTTTCATTTTATATAGGCCTAATATAACAGACATGTCTATTTATCATCGTAATAGCATAATGCTGTTTTTTTTCCAAGGAATACCATACTAAGAGTAATACGATGCAACGCAACACGTGCTTCAGTTAGGACAACCAATCATTCAAGGGGAAAGAAATCTTAAAAACACTGTCATAATTTTAATCCCACATTCAAACACATAATTACCTTGGCAATTAATATTCCAAATTATTTTAATTAAAGTTTCAAGAGGCAACTTTCAATATGGAAAGAATGTCATAAGGGATAATGTAATACTCTCAATTTAGTACAAACATTCAGTTTTGCATATGCCTCTCCCATAGTCCCTCTTGTGTTCAACAGAGGCTTAGAATGTGGAGTTTCTTGCGGTTTCTTAATTTTGTCGTTGCTAAGGGGACAATGAGACACAGAAAGAATGACGATCTTATGAACCTACGTACTTCTGTCTCTTTACGGGAGGAAAGTAGATTAAGAAGGGAAGGGACGCACAGAAATCTTATCCACGTGTAGAACTGAACGCGACTCTTACTTTTGTTCCATATTAGGTTCGCGTTATAAGTCTGAGGATCTGTTTATATATCCCCTCATGTCTAGAAAATGTAGGAAGGAATTTGCCGGTCACGGTAGCAGCGCTCTCTGAGGCAAGAACCGCTTTCGTCCGCTCGAACATTGGAATCGTGGGTTCGAATCTTACTCAAAGACATGGATGTCTGTATGTGTTTATTCTGTGTTTGTGTTGTTCTGTGTGTAGGTAGCGGCCTTGCGACGGGCTGATCCCCCGTCCAAGGAGTCCTACCGACTCTGTACGGATTAAAGCGGCTAAGGTGTACAAGGGCTGTAGAGAGATAGGGGAGAATTACATTCGTGATAATAATCGATTTCGAGATTTTGATGGGCCAACCTTACCGCCATCTTTGAGCCGATTGTCTAGATAATGTGGGACCCTCAACGTCTCACAACCCTATAGGCCTTCACGGCCAGGTACAGGGATAGCTTTAATTTTTATTTTTTTTACATGTTCTCGCCTCCTCTGATTACGAAAAAGTGGTTTTCGGTATAGTATCTGTCTGTAGAGGCCCAAAGCAAACTGTCTTCTCGAAACGGCTTTACCTGTCAGAATTCATTATTGCTCGGTATTCAGTAACAATGGACAATCGGGCCCCAATCCACTTCTTCTCCAAGGTGAATCGTGCATGTAGAGGTTTGCACCGATCTGTTGTAAAGCGAATTAAAGGCGACTTGAAAGTAAATAATTTGTATATATGAAATCACATGTTTGCGTTACCTATATTTGTTCTGCTGCATGTGATTTCTTTTTGGCTGTTGTTGACATGCGAGCTAAGCCGAGGTGTGGGCAGTTCTGCTGATAAACACAGTAATTAAGGTTGGTAATGTTCTTATAAGGGGCACGCGGTATCGTAGTTGGTTGAGGCACTACGCTACAAGCCGGAAGGTAGTGGGTTCGAGTCCCGATGACGTGGATTTTTTTTTCAATTTACCTAATCCTGGAGGTAAAGGGCGGCCGGCACATAAGGCTGAATCCTTATCGCCATCTGTGAGCCATTTAGAAAAAAATGTGGGATCCTCGACGTCTCATTGTCCTATTGGCCACCATGGCCTGTTATGATACCTTTTTACCGTTCTTATGATTGATCCCGTTCTGACCGATTTTTCAATAC